TTGGGGGGGGAAGGGGTTCCCGGGGCAGTTTTCCGTTTGGGAAATCCCCAACCCCTTTTTTGAGCCCGAATTAATTTTTTTCAAGGGGGAGACCGCCCCCCCGCCCTTGCCCTTTAAAAAACCCCCTGGCGCCAGGGGTTTTCCGGTTGCCCGGGGGTTTTTTTGGGGGGAGGGGCCCCCCCCCCCCCCCCCTCAGGTGGGCCCGCGCCCCGGCAAGTACATGGGGGGCTGCCTCATGTACCGGGGGGACGGGGTGCCCAAGGACGTCAACTTGGGGGTCGCCCCCATCAAGGGGAAGGGCCCCATCCAGTTTGTCGACTGGGGCCCCCCCGGCTTCAAGTGGGGCAGGGAGTTGCCCCCCCCCGCCTCCAACCAGGGGGGGCATCCCCCTGCCCGCCGAGCCGTTTATCCCTCCCCTCCCTAGCCGGAGCCGGTTTTAGGGGCCCCCCCCCCCCCCCCCCTTCTCCTCCTCCCTCCCCGCGCAGTCAACTACCAGCCGCCCACGGTCGTGCCGGGCGGCGACCTCGCCAAGGTGATGCGCGCCGTCACGATGATGTCCAACACGACCTGCATCGCCGAGATCTACTCGCGCATCGACCACAAGTTCGACCTGATGTACGCCAAGCGCGCCTTCGTGCACTGGTACGTCGGCGAGGGCATGGAGGAGGGCGAGTTCTCCGAGGCGCGCGAGGACATGGCCGCCCTCGAGAAGGACTACGAGGAGGTCGGCGCCGACTCGGCTGAGGGCGACGGCGAGGAGGAGGAGTACTAGGGCGGCACCTCCCCCGTCCCTTCCGCGCCAGCGCCCGACCCCGCCAAGGGCCCCCTCCTCGCTTTTCGGGGGTGGCGCGGGGCCGCGAGGTCGCGGCTCGCGCGGACATGTGAGGCCCGGGGTGTGCCACGGCGCTCTCTACGTTGACGCTTAGCTGCCGCGAGCCTGCACTTTCGCGGCGTCACTGGAGCTGTGTGCGTGTGCCCCTCGTTGGCCGCAATTTCGAGAGGCCGTGACGCGTGAGACTGAGAGGTCCGCCATAAATAAATAAATAAATAAAATTAAAAACGGACACCTCTCTAGAGGGAGCGGACCCTGAGTTCAGGAAATCGGGGGACGCGACCCACTTCGCCACAGACGGTCCCGCGCCTCGCCGCTATGACGGCCACACGACCGCAGCTCGTGTGCGTGTGGCCGTCTTTGTCCGGAGTGAATACTCCAACGCGCTCGTCGGTGACGGCGTCCCCCGATTTCGCCGCGCTCGGCGAACCTCGACAGCGCTTTCGGTGGCATGCAGCTCTTTGCGCCTGAAGCCTGGAGAGCAGCTCCTCTGCTGCTCATACGCTCTGCACAGTTGGCACAGCCTACTGTGCGGCTGCCACAGCTGTGACAGCGATGGGCTCGCCCTCACTGGCCCTCAGTCACTCGTGCTGCGGCTTGTGTGAGCGACACTGCTCGGCGACTGCCGGCACACTGTGAGACCATGGGTGTGAGGTAAAACCACGCTACCAGCGCTTGGTCACATCAGCCCTGAGGTCATATCCTTCTCCTCTGTTGATGGTAACACTTGTCTACTCGCTGGAGCCGAGCAGGAGGGCTTGGCGCACAACCCCTGTTCAACTCAGGGTCCGCACCCCGTACTGTGAGATGGGTAAAAAGGAACTAGCCGTCTTCCACATGGTCCCTCGGGTCCCTGCTGCTCCTAATCTCTTCGTACATCCTCCTGCTGATCTCCGCAAAGTCCTGGCTCCTGCTCCCTCCCTCGTCTCGCCCTGCGCGTCTGCTCCGCGCTCACCGTCTTCTGCCCTGCGTCGTCTGGCGACGGGTCCTCCATAGTCGTCGGTCGAGGTCGCCGCCCTCCTCGTGCCTCTTCCCAACGTTCCCTCGGCGGCCGATGCCGTCTGCTCCGGCTCCCCAGTCCCCGGGTCTGCCCTGCTC